CAGGTGAAACTTTAATGTAATTGTAATTAATTTGCACGTGTACATTGATTTAAGCCAAATAAAATATAGAAGTGACTTAGCCTTTCCATACGACTGCCTTCGAATGATAGTCATTCGTACTAGTGTGTGGTTAACTTTTATCTAACCTTTTAGATGTAGTAAAATCAAATCGATTATACATAGATAGATTTCAACCGTGGTTTTATCTGTATGATAAATACCCATATAAATACAGCCAGATCTAAGCTACTCTATTTTCTATTCAATTCAACAAATAAACATACCTAATTTTAACATTTATAATATTAATAATTTATTTATACGATTATATTTAAATTTACGAAGTTTACTTAAATGATAAATTGAAATATGAAATAAACTCCCATCGATAATTTATCAAAAATATTACAATTCATGGCTATTTAAAATATTTATGTAGGTATAAATAAGTAGGCAACAAAGATAGGCATATCTCCCAATGTGACAACTTACCACCAGATGGACCATCGGTTCTTTTATGTTTATTACTTTTATATTTATTTATGTTATAAACATGAAACATTTTGTATGTCTGATTGTACATCTTTTATGTCATATGTAACAACGGAAAAATAGATTGACGTGATTTTTTGCACGGATACAGTTGAATGGGTAGAGATTGACATAGGTAACTTAATTTCCGGTATATCAAAAACTTCCTGTTGGATAATATTATAATGTTAGTAACAACTTATTTATTCCATAAATAAAGCCTCTGATAAACGGCTGGACGGATTTGGATGAAATTTAGTGCGTAGACAGACTAAAAACTTTTTTTTAATGTAGGGATGCATGCAATGCATTTAGGCATACCACCTGCATACACATATAGATGGTTATGTGGGATTCACCAGCCAGAGAAGCCAGTACTACCCACTAAAACCCAACAGAACCTCCCCCGTATTAAGGGGCGTGGCGTTTTATTTAAAATATGCATCTATTTAAAGATATACTCGTATATATACGAGTACTATCTGGTATCCATAACAGAGGCCTCGTAGCTTACCATGGAACTAGATGGTGTTGTGTGTTAATGTCCCAACATATTTATTATTTTTTATTTACTTACTAACCCCCGACGTAAAAACGACAGGGTGTTATAAGTTTGACGTGTCTGAGTGTGGCATCGAAGATCTCGAACGGATGAACCGATATTGATTGTTTCTTTTTGAAAGGTGAATTAGTCGGGAGTGTTCTTAGCTATGTTTGATGAAAATCGGTCCAAGATGGCCGCCGCCACAAAATGGCTAATTACATATCGGTTTTTTATTTAATTTTTAATTTAATTTATTTACATAGATATTAATAGATATATATTTTTACCAGACGGTATTTCTGAAGTACCTATGGGGTTGAAATAAAAATACAATTACACAACGACCGTTTCATTTATTTTAAGAAACCTCACAAAAGTCTTGACTGGATCTTATCCATAAACGGCAATATGCACAGCGAACGTGGTACTTCTTAAATTAACAAAATACATCTTACTCTAAGAGAATTCCGTAGGTACAAATATTTACAGTGGCCCTTATTCATGAACTGACATTTTTATAAAAATATACAAAGTATCGTCTAACAGTTTCGAAGTAACATTGTTTTAGTACATTTTTTTAAAAAACATAAAAAAAAATTGATAGATATTTTCGAAATTATAAGTCTTGTAGACGTTGTTTAAGTAGCAAATTAATTCAATTAGGTTTACGAATAAGGGCAAAAATCTAAATTTAGTTTTACATAATATTGTCCATAAATTCATAATTAGAATTGTTAATTACTTTGAAAATTAATTGAAAAAAAAACACGATACCCTGTTTCTGAAGGGAGAATACCTTCTTCCAAAACAATTTTGTACATATACGTATATCGTACTTGCCAAATATTTCACTAATTTGTTTAAAAATTAAAATAATAATAAACATTTATACTCAATTTAACCGACTTCAAAGAGGGTTAAGCGTTTTCATTTGAAGTCGGTTAAAAATTAAACCGGTATCGTCTAACTTACAAGAACAAGCTTCATAATAGTGCAATATGCAATATTTGAAAGCACAATTATGCTTAGCATTTTAAAAATATACAAATTTATTTAAAACTGTTCGACAATTGAATATTTAACTTGCACTATTTCCTTCATTCGGTCTAATAAAATTAGTTACATAATCGACAGTGTAATTCAATTTCTTAGAGAAACTTTAAGCACTCGCTAGCGAATATCGAGCGATAAATTCATAGTAGAATCGTTTACTTTTTCCTTACAAATATACTATATAATATAGCTTTGGTGAAATTAGGTATAACTTATAAAAATTATCTAACAACGTGGACGTTTTCTAAGCAGACTGGCGTTGTGTTTGACACAAAGCTCTTTTAATTACATTTGACTTTTGACTTCCAATATTAATTCTCACAGTTTTGACATAGCATTGCGTACTGTTGAACAGAAAGTTGATAAATTATAATTTAATTTATGCAGAAAATAAGTTTCTATGAAGTATCTTATTATTATATTATGATCATAAATTAAAGTAAAAACTAAAAAATACACGCTTTTTGGTGAACATAACTAGAGAACTCCTATCTTAAAATCAGCTAAATGGTTTCAAATAATTAAGTATATGTCATCCGGGTTATTTAGTTTCTTATCGATACGAATACATAACAATAACATAGTATATTAAAATCGATTTATGTATGTCGTAAGTACCATGTCATTAATCCCTAAGACATGGCATCTACACTACTATTATAAAGAGGAAAGATTTGTATATTTGTAACGAATAAACTCAAAAACTACTAGACTGATTTCGATGAAATTTTAAAGGAGATAGTTTGAGACCCTGGGAAGGACATAGGATATTTTTTATTCCGGAAATCATCCCTTAAGAGGGTGAAAATGAGGATGAAAAATACTATGGGAAATCAACCTAGGAACGCACCCGAGCGAAGCCATGGTGAGTCGTTAGTCTTCTATAAAATTATTACCTTCAGAACACAAACATTCTTTAACAAAATTAAATTAATTGCATATAATATAATATAAATGCTAAAATTTAATAAATCAAAACAAACAAACAGCAGTATATTATAATATAATCTGTGACGAGAATTATAGACAACAGCTGTGCAACATGAAGTTAATGTCCCAGAAACGTATGCAATTTAAATCGGCCGGTGCAATCGCGTGGATAGAGCGTAATAAAGCTATCGATGAATATAGAAGTGTAACATATATAACTTTTCATTGTTTCACATATTGCTTTATATTTAACTAGCGTTTTTCTGTGGCTCCGCCCGCATATATATATATATATATATATATATATATATATATATATATTATATATATTAATACCTTCTCCGAAACACGCTGCATCTTATGGTATGAGTATTATTCCGATCGGTTCAGTAGTTATCGCAGCATAACCGAACAATAAAATTGACTCTCCATTTATTAGTACAGATATGTGTGTATATAGAGTTACTAGTGAGCTGCTTTTGCTTGACTGAGGCTGACAATGTAGGACTATAATATGTGTTTTATATGAGAAATCCAACAAAATATAATAATATTTGGTCGCAAAATTAAAAAGGACAATTGACAACAGCGCCATCATCTAAGTTAGATGATAAGTACACAAAATATTTCTATCAAATTCGGTTAAGCTATTAGAAATACGAACACACGCACGCAGGATTTTTTATATGAACATTGAACATGTATTTTAAGTGATTTGAGTATATAAAGGAAATTTTAAAAAAAAAAACGTTTTCCATATACATACACATTTTCATCCCCTCTAGAAGATATCCCTTTAAAAGATATATTTTCAAAACAAATCGATAGTATTCGCTTTCGTTTTTGGAACACTAAACTGTGAATAGAAAGAATTTAAGATTTATAAGAAGAAAATTGAACTTTAAGAAGACATAAATGAAATATAAGATAGTTAAAACGACATATAAATAACATGTTTAAATAATGATTAAGCCTTATTTCACTCAGAACTCGCTTTGGTACTTTAAATTGTCTTTGGTTTTATCATTCTTTATAAGTTTAATTAAAATAAAAGTTAATCAATATCAAGTACTACCACATAAGTCGAATAATTCAAATTATTGAATAACAAACAAACAAATATGCACAAAACAATTATTATTATCAAAGCCTTTGAAACCATGTACTTAAATAAAGTAAGCAAATATCTCACAGATATCCAAATAACTGGTCTGCTTAAAAAACGTCTTACCTTAGGCCCATAGTAATCTATCTACACAAACGTAGTTTTTACAATTTAATTTAAAAAGGACACTATTTACATATTTTTATTAAGAAAAATATTCAAATATGGAAATTCACGTAATATAGCTGTACATTTATTTACCTACATAAATTATACGCATTTTAGTATACAAGCTAATCGTTGAACACTGAGTCGATTTTGGTGTAGCTTTGGACAGTGACTAGTCTAAATGCGTAATTACAATGATTGCTGGAATGCTGTGTCGATTTTGATAAAGTCGGTAGTGTTTTCATATCTGTAACAAAAAATAATTTAATTCTCATTTAAGATTCGTTCAAGTTTTATTTCAAAATGTTATTATGCAAAGTGCCTAAATACTAACTGTCAGGTACATTCGCCTAAAAAAATAGAAACAACGAGGGTGTGACAGGTCCGGATAGATAAAATCTATAAAGTATGTATTGTTTGGCCTTTTATTATCATCGCCACTTACGAAAAGAAAATCTGATTTCTAGTAAACTTTTTTAACCTATTTGACTGAAAGTTTTGTAAAAAAATATTCTATTTGACAAAAAGTACAAATATTTCATACTTTTATTAATAATTAAGTAAGTTTATTATTAACAAAGTATATATTGGTTTGGTAAGAATTCAAGATTTTTAAGTCGTGGCAAAAAATGTAAGTATTTTCTAAACTTACCTGTTTTTTTTTGTTTATGATACAAATAGTTGAGCTAAAGCAGGTAGCAAAATCATAGTGACCGCTGTGTAAAAGTTAGTTCCTGAAAAAATAAAAAAAACAATTAATACTTTAATATCAAGATCAGTTATCTATACATATAATAAAATTGCAACTAAGCCGAATCTGTACATTAGATATTTTTTGGAAAATCTTATTGAAATAAACATTATAATTATCGATACAGAGGCCGAATCTACAGATTTTAGAATTTTTGTCTGTCTGTCTGTCTGTCTGTTACCGCATCACAGAAAAAGCACTAGAGGGATTTTGATGAAATTTGGTATGGTCATAGGTGGTTATCCGGGTCAACATATAGGATACTTTTTACCGCGGGAAAATATCTCATTTTTGAGAAAACATACAAAAACTGCAATGTAAGAGTATACTAATATGTAAAACCTAAGAATTTGTTTTTTTTTCATCTTAACGCGGGTGGAGCTGCGGGAAATGCTAGTCTATACTAAAATTAGAAAGAGGAAAAATTTGTTTGCTTGTACCAAATAAGCTCCCAAACTACTAACCAGATTTCGATGAAATTTGGTAAGAAGTTAGTTTAAGAGCCTCGGAAGGACATAGAATAGTTTTTATCCTGGAAATCATCCCTTAAGGAGGCGAAAATGGGGATGGACTTTTTTATAAGGAAGCGACATAGGATTAAACCAGAGCGAAGCGAGGGTGAGTCGCTAATAAAAATTAATAAACCATTATCTATAATTACATAATCGCTTAAATATTACCTCAAACGGAAATCGAATTTACGAAACGGATGCAAATTTAAAAAAATCTATCTATTTCAGTAAATCACAAAGCACTAAATTTAAAACTCTGTTTGAATGTAAATAAAATTTTAATCCAGCACCTAATCTCATTTAGCAGTCCTTCGGCTCCTTGCTTAGACAGTGAAATTTAATCAGTCTAGTTTAATTACTGGACTAATTGGTAAAATAAAACCGACACCGTCAGGGTTTGTAAATAGAGGGTAAGTGTGGTTCGAAATCAAATATTTGTCAAGAGTAGACTGCAGAACCATTTATTGATCTTAGATTGAGATTTTTGTATTGAATTTAAATTGATTTGTTAATTTTTGATATGTTTTCTTTTATAAAGGAGAAACTAATTCATAAAATAAATGATCTCACTACTTAGAGTAAGTAATTCTCAAAAGATTTCAAAAGACAAAGAAAAGATTTCTCAAATATGAGACATTTTCCCGTAGTATAAAGTGTCCTAACTGATGACCCGGATTACCAGTTATCATCGTACCAAATTTCATCAAATTCTGTCAAATGGTTTTCTCGTGAAACGTTCCCAGACAGACTGACAAGCAGACAAAAATTCTAGAAAACTATAGATTCGGCCTCTGTGTCGATAATAATGACTATTTCAATAAGATTTTCCAAAAAAAATTCAATTTACAAATTTAACTCAGTTAGAATTTTATTATATGGATAGATGAAACGAATACTATAACTATTATGTGTATTAAGATTGAAAATATTAAATAAATTTCATGTTTTAAAGCTATATTTCAAGATATTAAGGGAACTCATAAATCAGAATTTATGGAATGGCCAAATAAATGGGGTGCTTATTTTATATATATACTAAAAATATATATAAATAATTTGTGTTATAAAAATAATGCATTATCTATATATAAATACTAGCATTGCCCGCAGCTCCGCCCGCGTTTAGATTACCAAAAACCAAATTCTTAGATTTACATATTAGTATACACTTATATTGCAATTTTTGTATTTTTTCTCAAAAATGAGATATTTTCCCGCGGTAAAAAGTATCCTATATGTTGACCCGAATAACCTGCTATCAAAATACCAAATTTCATCAAAATCCCTCTAGTGGTTTTTCTGTGATGCGGTAACAGACAGACAGACAAAAATTTTAAAAACTAGGTATAGATTCGGCCTCTGTACCGATAATAATGTCTATTTCAATAAGGTTTTCCAAAAAATATCTAATGTACAGATTCGGCTTAGTTACAATTTTATTATATGTTTAGATATAGGCAAAGACAAAACAGTTCAACCTTTTATTCTTTATTCATATTTTGGAAACAGTTAGTTTTTTATATAGATAGGTAAATTATATTCATATAATGATTTCCTCAGTGTCAATGGTCAATATTTGACCATAAGGTGTAAGTCGTTCGTTTGTTTCTTTTTTTTGTTTAAACGTGCTAATCTCAGGAACTACTAATCTGATTTAAAGAAATCTTTTTGCATTTGATCGCCCGCTTATAAAGGAAGACTATAGGCTATATATTATATAACATATAGTCTATCTATTCCATACTAACCGTTAAAATCTGGTAGGAACGAACCCAAGCGAAGCGAGGATGACTGAATATTGTTAATAATTGAAATTGAAAGCGAAATGAATATTGTTAAATTGTTAATAATTATTATTAATCTTAACACCCCTAGCGGGTCTTGAACCCACGCCCACTGGCACAGGAAGTAAGTTGCTGTGCCAGCGGTCGCGGGTTCGTAACTTAATACTCTTAACCTATACAAATAAAGCGTTACTCCAATTATAAGACAAATTCAATTAAGAAAAAACTCATCATAGCGTGTAAAAATAGTCATAGCTCTTATATTTAGAACTCTAGTACTTTACTTAAAACAAGTTATCGAAATATGTCTATGTGTATAATTATATTTAATTATATTATTACATGTATCATTACATGAAAAAAAATATTTCTTAATTACCTTTACAACTTTATGTTCGAGTCTTCTTAGTTTTTTTTTTATTTTTTTTTATCATTACATACCTTTAGACCCCACTGCAGCCGCTAGTTGCATATCAGCTGCAGTCGGCATCTCTGGTGTGGTACTGATCGGTCCTGTTAAAAAGAATGATTGTAAATGAACATAACCTAATCGTTATACTTTCTTAGATTTACATGAATATTTGAGTATTTTAATATAACTTTATTTCATTATGTTTGCTGTAAAGCATTCATAATGTCAGGAACATAAAATCAAAATAAATCCGCGAAAACATCCAAAAATATAGTTTTATTTATGAGGTAATCGTTTTAATTCTTGCAGATATAACTAAAATATATGCTTTATTTTGTTACGCTGTGATATAAGGTTTCTCATACATACAAACTTTGACATTTATACTACAGTGCAGCGAAATAAAAATAAAACGTGTGTATGTACTTATGTAACCACGTAAAAATATTTACTTCTTTGGCGTAATAGAACAAAAATAGCTAAAGATTTCTTCACGTATGTCACAACTCCCTGTGTGTAAAAGGAATGCAGCTAACTTCATCATGTCGCTCTCAGCTAACTTCATCATTTCACTTTTTGGCTGTCGGTGTGCGTGAGCATCGTAAAAATGTTACCCTCATATTTTTTTCCAAACGTGCCAAAAGAAGTATAACTTCAAAAAGATAAAAAATCTTTTTTAGGCCAAACTAGATTATCCTGGCCTAAACTAGTATACCCTGACACACCTAGGAAGAACCAGTATGGCCTAGGACAAACCAGTTTGAACTAGGATAAACCAGTTTGGCTTGAAATCGGGTTTGGCCGGTAATATATATTTTACTTTAATTACAAATCACTAAATGATAGATAGCGCTATCTTTATATAATATAAAAGACATTTTAAGACACTATTATTTATATCAAATTTCCGAAAGATAAATCCAATTAAAAACCAAAGGGGCTTATCTCTTCAGTTAAATAGAATGATAAGATCGCACCATCAAAACAGCTAAATATTCTCAATTTATATAACAGATTTTTTGAACAATGAAGTTAACGAAGCCTAAAATTATTCAAGAGGTCCATAGCGGCGAATGTTCCTCATCCCTCAGTTTAGATAGCTGTGCACACAAACTTTCCTCTGATAAAAACCTCAAATGGCCAACCCGCAAATTATACAGCGAAATTGTTATTCTTTCCTACCTCAAATATATTTCACTCCCTTATTCTTTTCAGGCCTACGGCCGCTTTAACGACATCCGTAGACTTATAAAACCGTTAAACTGCTTGTTTAAATTAAATAAACACTTTTGTTTATGTTGCGCTTTCTGGGTTTCCGGTTTAAAATTTCATGGTTCAAAAAAAAGGTAATTATACTCGCTTGACAATTGTTTCATATTTAAAAATAATGTTGGCAGTTAGTGTAATGTCTATATTTTTTAAAACATCTTGCCTTTATTGATACTAAAAATTTATAGACGCTGTTTTGCTGAGAGGGTTGCTAATGTATGGATAAGGGTTGAATTAAATATTTTTGAATTGAAATTTCACAGTTTCTTAGGGGAATGTTTTTGGTAAAATAGCAATAAATTGTATATTATAGTTTTAGATATTATTTCATATGACCACTGTAATAAAAATAATTCTAAGTATAACATTCTCTTTAAACTATATTTAAACTGAAGATTTCCAAAAAAAAAATTCTTTCAAGTATAACTATATAATATATAAATATTAAAATATTAATAATACCAAGTTATTTATTAATATTTGAACATTCTATTTATAATTTACCATTTTAAATCATCGTCATCGCAAGCTAGCTATTGAAAATAAATTCGGCTATTTTCATATAAATGTAGCAGCTTCAATTTAAGTAATCCTAATATATAACAATAAAAGCAAAACGTTCACATCAAAATTACTATAAAAGGGAGAACTTACATAATCATTAAAGTTTATTACGATAGATTACTTACCTGGGTAGTATATAGCCTCTTTCCTTACAGCGTAGTTGGCGAGCGGTATCCGCAAAGTGCAAATAAACTCTGCTGGGGTCGGAAGATCGGCATCTACCAACGTAACAGATGCCACAGCTGAGTACCTCCCGTTCACTAACTTTAAACTATGCGATACACCGTCTAGTCGCCTAGAAAGAAATTTTAAAGTTATAAAAAATATTTTTTAGAATAACATACGTACTGTTCAAGAGTTTACGAAATTAAACATTACGAAATAAAACAAATCTAAACTATTTAAGTTTATTATATCTATATATAATTAATATAGATCATTTAACGAAGGCATATATTTCAATATATAAATTCAGTATGACGAAAAAAGTTATTGTCAAATGGAACTTATGTAAAGTAGAATTATATATATATAATCAAATAAAACAAATCTATCCCACGGGAACTGTACATTTTTTCGAGATAAAAAACAGCCTATGTGCTATTTAATATTAGTATGGATTACATCGGCCTAATAAAAATAATATGAAATGAGAATAACTCAATGTTCTTCTCATTTTATACTTTATTATATTAATTAAAAACACTTTCTGAAGTATATAAATATAACAGAATGTTAATCAAGAAATGGACTAAAATTGATTTAATATTTATGCCAGCTAAAATTAGCCTCCTAAATTAAAAACTCATTTTTCCTGTTAATATTACAATACGTAATAAAGAAAAGGAAGTAATAAGTATAATTAGGTCGAAATTTTATCATATTTCTGTTAATATCTTTAGCATGTCATGTAGAAATAAAAAAATAAATAATTATTCAAAAACAGTGATTGACACAATAAACACTAGGAATAGAAATAAGAAATAAACTTGTTACGCCCAGATTTCGACTCCAAAAGGTGAAATAAATACTTAATGGGCCCGAGTATACGCATATATAATAAGGTTCCACGAACTGTCCTTTTTTTTTTTTTAACGTTGGGAAATGCATTTACGCACGACGTGTGGGACTCACCGGCGTAATACAGCCAGTACTATCCACTAAAACCCAACAAAACCTTCCCCCGTCTTAATGGGGCGTCGCAGGATCGCTTACGCATTCAACTACGACGCCCCGGCGGCAGGTCTGCCGAAGCAGACCACCACAACCATGGGGTTGCTCCAAGGTCCACTCTGCTATCAGAGAAGTACCAGGAGCAACCCGCATGGTAAGCCGCCCTCCGAAGAGGGCCACCTCCCACCGCCCACCGAAGTGGGCAACCTCCTTGTGCGTTTCTTAGCTTCGCGCCCGGTTGGGTTGCCGGGCACTACTGAGCCCCCCCACCACGACAAGGTGAACGCACTTTGGGGGGACCACGAACTGTCCTAGATTAACCTTTTAAAAAATTTAAAGATATAATAAAGAATAGATATTTTACTGAACAAAATGTATTACACTGTTCAAGAGTTTCTTGTTGATGAAAATGTGTGAAATTAAGATATATTGACTCATATAGGCTATCTGTTATATTATGTTTATTAATGTAACTTCGATATTTAAAAGAGCAACTGTTGAGTTTCTCGCTGGTTCTTTTCAGTAGAACTGCTTTCCGAGCCGGTGGAAGCTTCCTCACGGAATGACCACGCTCTTTAAATTGAATAGACTATTCATAAGTGCCAATAAGTCTATTTAAAGTTTCATTTCATTTCAAAGTATAACGGAAACTAATCACGACAGCAAACACGATACATCAACGATAATATTATAGAAAAAAAAAGCTCTGACACTCTTACAAGGAATATGAATATAAGAAAACGTCATATTATTTTAAAATATATCCAGCAGGGACGCCTGTGTGCAGCTGTGGACGTGTTTTGACCGGGATGAAGACGATATTTTAACTCAGCCGTTAGCTCAAAGGTTTTATATCTATACTTATTATAAAAATAAGTCCCCCGGCCGCGTCTTTCTGTCCTCCTGTCTGTCCTCCTGTCTGTCTGTACGCGATAAACTCGAAAACTACTGAACGGATTTTTATACGGTTTTCAACAATAGAAAGAGTAATTCTTGAGGAAGGTTTAGGTATATAATTTATTATGCTTTTATGTAAATTAGCTGAAATACGGCGACAAATGTTGAAGAGGTCGCAAAAAATCTCGCCAAATGGGAACTTTCCACGCGAACGCCGCGTAAACTAGCAAAGATACAGTTAAGTAATGTACTAGAGAATTCAAAATCTATAAAAATGCTACAAAAAAGTCCGCGATAGCATATCTCTATCTCTTACGGTTGACTTACAATAACCACTTTTATGTTAACATTTTTAATTAAAAACATTACGTTATTTTCAAAGTTATTTTCTTTAGTTCGGTATTAATCCTTATCCAAATGAATATTTTAGTTAGCTTAGTCATTTAATGCAGATTAAAATTGCTCTTTACACTAAATCAATCAGATGAATAGTTTTTGAGATATCGTTGTTAGAAGTAATTAGTAGCGAAACATTTTTAATGCTTGGCGAGCATTGAGATGCCTACGGCGAGTCCATCCCCTCTGCCCCGCATCGCTCGACCGCCTGCTCAAGCTATATAAACCGGGCGATGTAGCGCGCGATCCTAGGATACTTTTTACCGCGGGAAAATATCTTATTTCTGAGGAAAAATACAAAAACTGCAATGTAAGAGTATACTAATATGTAACACCTAAGAATTTAGTTTTTGGTCATCTGAACGCGGGCGGAGCCGCGGGCAATGCTAGTATAAAATATATAATAGAACAAATACAATATCAAGACTACTTAAAAACATTATGCGAGTTGCTTCCTTGAATATGAGAGAAATAATTTACAAGAGAAATTGCTTCATGATGAGGTGGAAAGTTTCATAGCGTAGTCTATAATCTTAATCTTTTTACTGCTTTGAATTATTATTTTAAAAGAAAAGCTCGATAAAATAATTGCGTTCATAAATTATTTTTATGAACATTTATTTAGCTTAAGCAGAATATGAAAAAGAAATTGTATGTGAAAATCAAAACCATATAAACAGTAACTTTTATTTTTGCTTATTTACCGACTTTAAAATAAGATAATACTTTCTTAGATTTACGCGAATGTTTGACATTATTAAATAAAACTATCTTTTCGGATTATTTCGCGGATTTATTTTGATGGAGAGACCATGTCTCGTCCCGTGACCATGGATGCTGTAAAGCCAAAATCAACCACCAAAAATCAAAATAAATCCGCGAAATAATCCGACAAGATAGTTTTATTTAAAATAAGATTTTTAGTTTGAACGTATGTAGTTCTTGTAAGTGTTATACTACGTGATATAGGATCCACAATCAGTTTGTTTGTTTGAAATAGAAACCATTGGAGTATTAAGGATAATACCAAATAATTTTATGATAAACACGTTTTTTTACGGAAATTTAATTCGGATCCAATCATGTTCAACACAATAGCTAATTTGTTTCAACGATATTGCACTAGGCTGCCTTATTTGCTTACATTGCATAAGATTACATATACTTGTATATTTGAAAAAAAAATGTGAATATATTTTTATATAATTTTCATCCTCTTACTATTGAGACTACTACGATTGAGACACTATACGAAAATTTCCTTACAAAATGGTCGAATAAAACTAACTTCTGCAATTTACTCGTAGCAGTGAAAAACGTATTCTTGGAAATAGATAATTCACTTTTATATAACACTAGCGACTCACCCTCACTCTGCTCGGGTTTGTCCCTAGTTATGTTTTAACATTTAGTATTTTTATATTAGGATTTCTCGGAGATGATATTTTCTCCCGCAGTAAAGTGTCCTATATGTTGATCCGCATAACCAGCTATTATTATACCGAATTTCATCAAAATCTCTAAAAACTATATATTCGGCCTGTGTATCGTTAATATTGTCTATTTCAATAAGACTTTCCAGAAAATATTTAATGTATTATAGATTCGACTCATAATTTTATTATATGTATAGATATCATAATAAATATGTGGTTTACATTAAAACAATATATGTTTACGTTTATTTCTTATACCATATCGTAAAGTAGCTAAGCTTTCATTTTATAGGTGTAATAAGAATTTGCACGACTTTCCCATAAGTGAAATCGTCTGTTAAAGACTGTTAGTAACTTGCTTAAATAATAAAAACATAATACTACGTTAATAATCTTAACTGCATATATATAAATATAAAAATAAATATCGTGTACACATAAACTATTTATTTATAGGTTTAATCAAACCAATGAAAGAACAGAAAAAAATATGTATAAAACATCTCTCGAAACCGAACTAATAACTCACGCTTTCATGACAGCTCTACAATTTGGCATGAATTTCAACGATGATTATAGAAATCTTTCAACGATAACAGCCAATAAAACCACTTGTGGTTCACGAAATACCATTTCGTTCATATACACTAAAATAATTCTCTGTCCTAATAAAAATCGAGGAAAAGCTGAAAATTTTACCAACGTACTCAATATCCTATGCAGCTTACTACAGATATATTATAGCCATACAAAAATATGGTGATCACTTTGCTTTATCAAAATTTAATCTCTACCATTTTTGTCAAATAGCGCGCTTTAGATATTTTATTAGAGATTGCACAGTTCGAGATGATAGCGGGCGAACATATTTTAAGGGGACCAAAGTTGGCAGGTAACACCAGGTCGTGAAAGCTACCGGATTTAATCTTTGCCTTCAACGTTGCCAAGTTCTTTATAAATTTATTGCCCATTCAAATTTTTATTGCGACCATACTCGAAGTAATGTTTACGTGATATTGTTGGGGTGACCAAATCTATATTTTTACAGTCAAATAATTATGATCCTTAAGCCATTACTAAGACGTTGTTTATTTAAAAAAATATTGTACTATTAATCTTTTTTTATATTTATTATCTATGTTTTAGTGTTATATTTCATAGTAACATTTGCGTTTTTACTAATAACTACTTTTTGATTGCTTTGCTCGTGGGATTTTTGTAAAATATCTAAGCTATTATATTCTAAGTTTCATTAAAACCTGTTTAGCTATTGTGGAATAAGTAACACGAGAACTCTTACAAAATGTTATCGCCTTTATCTATACATATAAGAAAATTCTGAGTCGAATCTATACATTAAATATTTTTCGGAAAATCTTATTGAAATAGTCAT